CCTTTACCTTTGGGAACTGAGTTGGTATGACAAGTCATGTATGTATGGAGGTGTGGGTGGATATAGAAGGATATGCTTGGGAGAGTGCATGCACATGTGTGCATGCCTGTTGAGGCCAGAGGTTGATATTAGGTGCCTTCTTCAATCACTATCTTTTTAAAAAATTGTTTATTTTTATTTTATGTATATGACTGTTTGCCTTCATGTATGTGTGTGCTCTATAGGCATACAGTACCCACAGAGGCCAGAAGAGGTCATCAGATTCCCTGGAACTGGAATTACAGGTGATTGAGAGGTGTCATGTGAGTGCTAGGAACCAAACCCAGGTCATTTGCAAAAGCAGCAAGCATTCTTAACTGCTGAGCCATCTCTCCAGCACCTCTACCTTATTTTTTGAGGCAAGGTCTCTTTATGGAGCCCACTGATCTGGCTAGACTGGCCAGGCAGCAAGCTCTGAGGATTCTCCTGTATCCACCTCCCCCCTGCTGGGATTATAGGCACATGCTACCACACCTGACTTTTCCACAGGTACTGAGGATTGAACCCAGGTCCTTGTACTTATCTGACAAGTACTTTACTGACTGGGTCATCTCCTTAGCTCCAATGGCAGGCTTTCTGAAAAAGAAATCTCATTTTCCATAGTTGATGTATCAAAGTACCATTTTTTCTATTTTAATTCTGTAAATCAAAACAACCTGGTTCTTACAGAGAATGGAGATGAGAAAGAAGGTCTTTGCTGGGGTTGTTCTTATTGGGCTGCCACTCAGGCTGTGGAAAATTCCTCATCCCTAATAATCTCAGAGTGGCATTCCTTTCAACTGTGCTGCCCATGTGTGGGGTGGGACATGGGGGATGTGGACTCTTGGTACCCCTTGAGCTGATTTCAGAGTATTAAGTTAGGTGATGAGAAAGCTGGCCCCTTCTCCATGTCCTTTCATACTTGGTTGCAAAGCAGAGAGAGACTCTGCCTGGGACTGCAATATCCTTAGCTCTGTAACACTTGTTAGTTTCCCCTTTGTAGCTAGGAGAGAGCAGGCCTTAGGCAACTGTCTCCAGCTAGAAATATACAACACAGATTTTCATTGTATGCCTTTTCATGAGAACTTCCTATTTAGGGCCAACAGTAGTGATAACGAGTGAATTTAAAGAAAAACGTAAGCAATAGTGAAGTCAGCATGTGATGCCAGGTATATTAGCACAGGGACTGCACTTTGAAGACAACTGCCTGTGGGCATCAAACCTGCTGACCCTGGCTTTCACTTAGGATGGATCTGGGGAGCCTGGGAGAACCTAATTCCTGGGCCTCTGCCCACCAAGTGATATGACTTACTGGGGATGGGGCCAAGCATCAGTATTTGACTCAGACAGCCCAGGTGTTTGCAGTGCACAACTGAGGACTGCCTCCCAGCCTGTGCTGGGACAGCATCCCCAGCATCTGACCCACATCCCCATCACGTCTTTCTCTGGCTCCTCTTCTCAATCCATTCCTCAACTTTAATTTTTGTTTTCTTTTCTCTTTCCTAGCTCCCCCTCTTCCTGAGAGAAGAACCACTGTACTTAATTCCCCTCCAGCATCAAGTCCTCCTTTAAGACCTTTGTGGAAATCACTGATTCATTTGCAACCATGTTAGAAAATTTCTAAGTTGTACAGTTTCACACGGCATTTTTTTGATGAGCCATAAGCCTGATGGTCCAGTTTCTGAGCATCTAAGCTTTTGGGAGGTTATTCTCCACAGTAACTTCTGTTAACAATAGAATGACAATTATTATTGGGTGCTTAGTGTATGCCTTGTTGTTCTAAACATAAATACTTTACCTGTATAAACCTGTATCATTCTGACATATCAGGGAGGTATAGTTCTTCAGATGAGGAAACTGAGGAGGTTTTTTTTTTAGTGTATATGTGTGTGCTGTGCATGCATATGTATGTATGTGTTCACATGTGTGGGTCATGTGTATACAGGTAAACATGAATGTGTGTGCATGAGTGTGGAAGCCCAACTTTGACACTGTCTTCCTTGATCGTTCTCTACCTTATGTATTGAGGCAAGGTCTCTCACTTGAACCCAGAGCTCGCCATTTTGGCTAACCTAGTTAACCAGCTTGTTCCAAGGATCCTGCCTGTGCTTTCATAGCACTGGAATTACAAGCAGGCCACCACCTCCACCTAGCATTTATGCGGGTGCTGGGGGGGGGGCGTCCCAACTCTGGTCTTCATGTATTGCATAGTAAGCTCTTTATCTGCTGAGTCATCTCCCAGCCCCCGAGGTTAAATATCTTACCCATGACCACAAAGTGGCTGAAGCAGAATGGTCCATGAGCAGCCCACACTCTGAGTAAATGGACCCCCACCGTTGTTGCTTACAATCCCAGCTCAGGTGCCCTGCTTGCAGTGAGTCACAAGACACTGTTTCCTGCTGCAACAAGAAATTGAAATTTGGACCCACTGTCTGCTTCAGTGACATTTGGAATTGATAACTCTTTTTATTTTCAACTTAAATGATAGTATCTCAGCAGGAAACTGGAGGCCTTAAAACCCATCAAGATCTTAGCTCATCTCCATTCAGAAGAGCCTTAAATGATTCCATGCTCTGGCTGCCAGGGCTATGAATGGAAAATACAAAAGCCAGTACCACAGCCATCCTTCAAGTGGCAGGAGGCAGCCCTTGAACACTTAGTGGCCTTGAAAAGGTTCTTCCTTAGCTTATCTGGCATGTGACCACAGCCTCCAGTGTCAGACATTCCAGGGTGTTTTCAGATTTCTCATTCTAGTGTTTAGTCAGAGACCTTTGGCCCTTTCCCTTTGAGCTCCATTTGTAAGCTCAAATCTTTCATCTTCTGTGATATTTAAGGGTGATGTTTCAGGAGATTAGACCTTCTATACTGCATTAAACCTTGAATTCTCAGATGGATTCTTAATCATCCGAGTCCCCTGGGAAACTCAGGCTTCATTAAAAGTTTCAAATGAGTTGTAGAGACAAGTCTAAACATGGGATATAGTGAGTACTCACACTGTGCAATTTTTTTTTCTCTTTCCAAGTCCCTAACTACGTAAGTACTTTACATGCATTGTTTCATTTCCTGTTCCTGTGAGCTCATATCACCAGGATTATGACTCAGAGACCTCAGCTCCAGAGCCCAAGGTTACACAGTGGAGGCAAGATTTAAAAGCATGTCTGCTAAGCTGCAGAGCCCATGCTCTCTCAACTTCTAAGCTAGATGAGGTTAGATAGAACCTTATGGAAGAAGTGCTTAGAAAGTCCAGGTACAATGTGGGGAGGACAAGCTCTGCTTCTCTGTAGCTAGAAGACCTAGGCTAACCTATTCTCTCCTCAGAGCATTTGAATATAGCACCCTCTGTCACATTCCTGAGTTAAGACTGATAGGTAAGGAAGACATAAGGCTGTTGGCCACAGGAGTTGGCACACAGCAGGGCCCACAGACTAGTATGGACGATGCTTGCCTTTGACTTCTGCTTTTAGGGATGAAGCCCCCCCCCCAACACTTTTTGTGTCTAAATGTCCAACGTCTTTAGCATATATCCATCCATCGTCTGTGTCCAGCCCAGTGCCAGCTCCACCACCTTCTTCCAATTCTTCATAATTAAGTTACACTGGTAATCTGCTAGTTGGCTATAATTCTGGTGGTATAAGTTGATTTTCCAACATTTACACACCACAAATCATCTGGAGACTTGGTAAACAGATCTCTGGACCCTCCCCTAGAGTTCTGATTCTGTAGGTGATGCTAATGCCTCTGATCCAAGGGTTGCACATTGAGAACCTCTGGACTAGAGAGCCTCATCACAGCTGGGTGTGTGTCAATGGTGTATGACCCATGAGGGACTCTGACAATATAAAATTATACCTCATAGGGAAGATGCCTTTGAAAGATATAAATACTGTAGGCAGGCTCATACCTATGCCCTTTATCATCATCATCATCATCATCATCATCATCATCATCAAAGATAATGTCTTATTGTACTGGTAGGCAGTAGTTTTAGAGAATCACCACATGTAAGAGCATGTCCCTCTGTGAGAAGCAAGTGGCCTTTAGGATTATTTTTCAGTTCCCTTGTGATTACTTCTTAAGCCAGAATATGCACTGGGGTCACTAGGAGTCTTGAAAAAGAGAGGACTCCAAGACTGGGATTCTGCATGGAGAACCAACTCCTGGGTGATGTTTGATGCACACTAGATGCACTTCTGACTTCCAACCTTCAATGCCAGTGGCTCCATCTCTGCTACATAATAAAACCAACTGGAGACTTTTAAAAAACATTTTTAATGCTCCTTTGGGCATTCTAATTTAATTCTGAACATTGACATTTTAACCCCTTTCTCAAGGGATTCCAAGGTAGATTCCAGGGTTGGAATCGACCAGCTTTTATGAAGAGGAAAGACAACACTGTAGACACATCCAAGTGCACATGTTCTACCATGGACCAGCTCAAGCTAGATGTGGGAAAGGGATGCCTTTCCTCCTGGAAGAGCTGTAGGGTCACCTAGGAATCTTGTTAAAATGCAGGTTCTGCTTCTGCAGGTTTGGGTGGGCCAGGTCTGGACAGTTCTCTTAGGAGCTAGAGTGTGGTCAGTCATGTCAATTTAGGCTGATGGCAAGCCTAGAGGTTGGGTCCTAGGCCCACATGAACCCCACTGACTGTCAACAGAGGTGGCAGACAACTGGCTCACATTGAGTGGCAGGAGCTTCTAGCTCATTTCTCCTCTCTTCAAATAGTATCTTTTGGGTGGAGGTGGTTAGAGGGGCTGGTCTCACATAGCCCAGGCTGCCCTCGAACTTATGTAGCCAAGGCTGGTCTTGAACACCTGGTCCTCATGCTTCCACCTCCCGAGTGCTGGAATTATAGGCATATGCTACCACATCAAGCTGCAAACACCATCTTAGGTTCTCTCTGATTCAGCATGGTGCTGATACCAATGCTGGTCAATGCAGATCAGTGCTGTTTTGGTGACATTTTCTTCCTTTTCTCTTTACAGTACGAGATGCAAAAAATTTAATCCCTATGGATCCAAATGGGCTTTCAGATCCTTATGTGAAGCTGAAACTTATTCCTGATCCCAAGAATGAAAGTAAACAGAAAACCAAAACCATCCGCTCCACACTAAACCCTCAGTGGAATGAGTCCTTCACATTGTAAGTGCTTCTTCCTCTCCTGGATTGATCTCTACCCCCACAGACCACACACTGCCAACCTCATTATTAGAGATCATGGGGATGGGGTGGAACAGTGACAGATGTCTTTTGTCCTCATTTCTAAGACCTTCTCAGACTGCTGACAGGTTAGAGCTGCCATCACTTCTGTTTGATAGATAGTAACTTGGTTTACCAGGATTTGTGCAATGCAAGCTCCAAATTAGTATCATCACCTGCTTTACAACAGAAGAAAAACTCTTGTTTAAAATATCACAAATAATATAAAAACATATAAGATGTGTCCCAGTTCTTGGTGTACTTAGGCTTGTTTGATAGCTTGAAGAGGGTACGAGGCAAGAATTTTAAAGTTTTTGCAATGTAGAATAAGTAGATGATTCAAAAGTTATTATTGCTACTGCAATAAGGAAGATAGGTCCACCTTCCTGGAGGGGTGACGTTTGAGCTGGGCCTTGAAGGATTGCCGGGAAACAGAGATGAAGGAAGGGCAAAAAGGAGGGAGGAATGTTAAGAGACAGTAAAGAAGTCAGGAGTAAGAAGAGCATGCAGAGCAGGAAACACACATGATTGCCCATGGGGACACATTCAAGAGGCACTTTCTCTGAGACAACCAGAAAGAAAAATGGCTGTCTACTGGAGAGAAGCCAGTGAGCTCTACCCTGTAAAGGCACTTTAGATGTTGTCCTGACACAGTTCTGAAATTTCAGTGCCAAATCAGCCCCAGATGATAAATATATAACCATGGCTAACGATAAAATATAACCAGGGCTGTGTTCTAATAAAACTTTATTTGTACAAAAGGACACTATGTAAACAAATGACAAAAGTTGTGTTCTAATAAAATTTTGTACAGTCACTATGTGAAAAAATGGCCCAAAGTTGTATTCTAACAAATTTCTTTATACAAACAGTGCCTCCCATGGGTCCATGTTCATTAATTCTTGGTCTAGATAGATGTTTGTTAGCTAGGCAGTATGAAGGGCTGCTATCTTGAGGCCACAAAAGGGGAATTGAATATACTGTTTCTCTGAGGCTCAGACTATAATAAGCGTGTCGGTATTCACAGGAAGCCACACTCTAGATAACCTACTGTGTTGTGTTGGGGTTGTATCTTTGCAGCAAATTAAAACCTTCAGACAAAGACCGACGACTGTCTGTAGAAATCTGGGATTGGGATCGAACAACAAGGAATGACTTCATGGGATCCCTTTCCTTTGGCGTTTCAGAGCTGATGAAGATGCCAGCCAGTGGATGGTAAGGAAGTCTCTGGGACTGAGCATGTCTCCAAACCTCCGGTCACTGAGAGATGCTGGAAACAAGCTGGCTCTCCGATATGCTGATGCACTGTGGGGTAGGGTATGTGGTCATCTGGCCACAGTCTCCATGTCTTCAACAGCCTAACTAGGGTTAAAGAAGAGCTTTAACCTTTTCCTAACTTGCCTTTAACCTCCTTTCTCTTCCCTGTTTTTGAAGGTACAAGTTGCTCAACCAAGAAGAGGGTGAATACTACAATGTGCCCATCCCGGAGGGGGATGAAGAAGGCAACGTGGAGCTCAGGCAGAAATTTGAGGTGAGGATTCCCACAAAGCATGGTAGGACAGCACCTTTCCTGCATGAAACACATGTCTTCAGGAAGCCCGATTCTCATGGTCACACCACTGAAAAGCACAAAGTAATGTTCATGTTAATATTTGTTTTCTTCATTTAAAAGAACAAATACTGTATGTAGTCACTTTCACTTGTGAGCTTTGGGCATTCTGTGTCTATTATTCTTTGAAGAATGAATATTCAAATATCTCAGGAATAAGAGCATGCTTGGTTTCCACACAGGAAATCAGTGTGCACGACACTGGGGAGGCAGCAAGGTCATGAGTGCACCATCCTCTCACAGAAGGGCTGTGCTTCTCCAAAAGGGACCTCTCTTTGGGGACAGTTTGCCTATTATTAGCTATCATGCCAGTATCTGAGGGTTTTTTTCCCCTAAAGAAAGCAAGATTTTCCTAGCTTTGTTCTCTAGGATGAGCTCCCACGGACACTCCTCATTTGTGCTCCAGACTTAATTAGCAAAGGCCTGTTCCTGTTCTTATGGGGTATTTGTGTTTGCCTTCTGACCTGGGCAGACAGTCTGACCTTTCTCCCTCCTTTCTCTTCCTCCTCCTCCTCCTCCTCTACCCCTTCCTCCCTTTACTTACCACACATCCCAGTTTATAATGAGCCTTCCTCTCCCAAGGTCCCTGCTTCATGTTCTCTAATTACTTTGCATTTTAACCATTTGAGCAATTCTTTGGGGTTTTTAAAAAAAATATTATTTTATTTGTTATTTTTATTTTATGTGTGTGTATGAGCATATTGCCTTCATGTATATAAGTGCACCCATGTCACACAGTGCCTGAGAAGGTCAGAAGAGGGTATCAGATCCCCTGGAACTGACCTGAAGTTAGGGACTGTTCTTAGCTGCCATGTGGGTGCTGGGAATTGAACCCAGGTACTCTGCAGTGCCCTTAACCACTGAGCCATCTCTCCAGCCCTCAGCTTCTGCAGTCTTTGTAACCAGTTAGTTCCCTTTTGAATCTGTCTCTTCTCCAAACTACTTAATATTTCCTGGAATTTCATAAGCCTAAAGAAATAAACACACACGTACATATAGACAGCTGTTACGGAGACATTGACATCAATAGAATGCTGATTTCCTTATTTTCCTTATTATATATTTTATTTTATGTGTATCAGTGCTTTGCCTTGGTATAAGTGCACCCATGTCATGCAGTGCTCGCAGAGGCCAGAAGAGGGCATCAGATCCCTTGAAACTGGAGTTACAGATGGTTGTTAGCTGCCACGTAGGTGCTGGGAACCAAAAATTGTTCCTCTGCAAGAGCAGCCAGTGCTCTTAACCTGAGAGCCATCTTCCAGACCCTTATATTGTTGCCAAAGGGAGATTAAGTCAGATGGAATGAATTCCAAAGGAATAATAAACATAAAGTTGTTCAGATTATTTCATCATCAAACTGGTGATCTTTTGTGAAAGTATGTGTTGGTGGTAATACTTAAAGTGAGGAGTTGAGGTTGCATGGCTGATGGGAACATAAATGATTGATTTCACAGGTAGTACAAATAAATGCCACTTAACAGTAGGTCTCAGTGTTGATGAGATAGTATGCAGCAGTGAGGCCTGGGGTGAGCCAGTGAACTCAAACCTGTCTAAAGGTGGCAACCAGGCTAGGGATGTGGCTCAGTAGTAGAACACTTGCCTAGCAGGTACAAAGCCCTGGGCTCCATCCCCAGCACCACAAAAACATAGAATAAATATGGTAATCCTTACCACTCGGGGCCAGATGTTATTGGTAAGCACATTTGCAAGCCTGTGCTGCCACATCTCCAATTCTTCAAGAGAAGCCAAAGTCTGCCTTTTTATATAGATGTTCTGGTTTCTTTTAATGTTGGCAGCTAATTAAATCTTACAGCTCTGTGTAGGTCAACCATACTTTTGTGACTTTCGACTCAGATAGGACCCAACTGGTAAGAGCCAGCCTGCAGTCTCTGCTGTCAAAAATTTCAGGAAAGGGTCTGGACAGGGGTCTCAGCAGTGAAGAGCACTTTCTATTCCTCCAGAACACCAAAGTTGAGTTCCCAGCACCCACATTGTGTGGGTCACAACCACCTATAACCCCAGCTCCAGGTGATCCAATACCTTCAGGCCTCCATGGCACTCACACACATATGCACAGACATACATATGCATGCATATAAATAAAAATAACTAAATCTTTGAAAACTACAGGAAAGTAAATCAAAAAGAAATACATAAATAAAATCAAGAGAACCTCAGTTCTTTCCTTATTTTCTTTAAGAAAATTTGAGTGCAAAGATGAAAGTCAAGGTTTCCAGGCATGCCCCTCCTGCTCTCTGAGCCTTCTGTTTTCCTTCACTTCTTTCATCATCTGCCTCCACCCGTCCCAGCTGAGGACTCAGCCAACCCCTCCCCAAGAAAGGCCTCCTAGACAAGCTTCCCAGTGTCACCCACCTCAGCCATAGATGGATCCTTCTAAGGGAGTTTCAGGACAGCTGAGTGCCCGTGTTACTTTATTGAAAGAAATCCCGACCCACTTTGCTGTTTCATTTCTATGGTTTTCTGGTGAGTAATCATCCTGCTTTACTGAGCAATGGGTCTACTTTTCCATAAAGGACAACAGTTCAATCAAATAAATAAATAAATGAATGAATAAATAAATAATAAATAAATAAATAAATAAATTTGTAGGTCAAAAGGCTTGAGGCCAAAATGGAAGCATTTTTCTTTAGAGATGGTTAGAGGCTATGTGTTGCCTGTTGCTGTCTCCCTGCTGGGAGAGCTGAACTTGATGGCAGAACACTAGCGCAAGGCCATGCAGCCTCTGTGTGGAGAGGAGAGGTCAGCATAGCTTGGGGGTCTGGAGAAAGCTGAGTCCCCGAGGCTCATGCTTGAAGCACTTGTATGAACCACATCCCCACAACTTTTACACATCTTTCAGCTTGTATTTCTTAGTTTCTACTCAAATGGTAGCTGCTCATTTACTTAGAGCATTTTGAAAAACACAGCTGCAATAGATGAGGGAGAAAGCCGCTAACTGATGGCGTCAGAAAGATGCTGAGAAGTTCTTGGTAACTTCCATACTTCATTTTAAACAGAATACTCCCTGAGGCTGGAGAAATGGCTTAGTGGTTAATAGCACTAGCTACTCTTGTAGAAGACCTGGGTTTGAATCCCAGCACCCACGTGGCAGCTCATAGCCATCTTTAACTCCAGTTCCAGGGCATTCGACCCCCTCTTCTGTCCTCCATGGGTATTGCATGACATGGGTGTGCTTACACACATGCAGACAACCCACTCATACACATTAAATAAATAAATAATTAGAAAACCAACCAAACAACAACAAAAACCCATAATAGTCCCATTCCCATAATGATGCTGTATTGGGGTCTATAGTTGTGAAAGTTGCAATTCTTCACTAGTGCCCAGGGTTGGGAAGGCACGTAATGTGAAAGGAAGACCAGAGTCAGCATTCGAGCAGATGGGGGGAGGCAGGGAGGCCTGCCTTTCCAAAGAGCATGTCAGTTGATATCAGGATACAATTTTGGGAGCTTCTTTTAACCCCACTGCATCTTCTCTCCATTCTTCGACCTAGTGCCTCAGTGCACTTCTCAGTACCTCACACAGCTGCCCACTGATGGCCCTCTATCCTGTTAGTCCTCTGTCTCACAGGCATTCTTTACTACTTTGCACCTCTGGTTGCATAAATTCAGTGCTGAGTCCTCCCTAGCTCACAGGATGGTTAGACCCTTTCAGAAGCATGGCAGGGGCCTCACACAGTATCTAATGCCAGGAGTGTCTCGCCTTTTGACATTTTAATATGACGTTGTCATCTGCAAATGTGTTGGGCCTCATTCGTACCTGTTTGGGCTAAATGTGGCCTGTAGGCCAAAAATTGGGCATGCTTGCCTGTTGGGCCATTCTTTCCATATCCAGCTGTTTGTTGTTTTTATTGTTTGAATTTTTGAGACAGGATCTTTTTGTATATAGCCCAGGCTGGCCTTGAACTCAAGATACTTCAGCTTCTGCCTCCTGGGTGCTGGGATTACAGGTATGTTCCAGTCACACCAACCATCTCTGTTTCTAGAAGGATTTAACCAGCTGTGGTTTTCATATCCTCCCCCAGAAATCAAAAGTCATTCAGTCTGATGAAAGAAAAATCAAAACAAATGAGCATTGACAACTCTGCCTACAGCATTAGGATTCATCAGATAATTAGATGGATTTTTTTACCGTATTTAAATTGTTGATTCTAGAATCTTGGCCAACAGAATCATCCTCATGTGAAGCTCTTAGGAGCTAAGGAAAATCCCAGGATGACTGGAAAAAACCCTGCTTTTTCCAAACAGGTTCTAACAGAGCCTTTCATCTGTTCAAAAGACAACACAAACCAGAACCTTGACCACAGTATTCACAGAGTGCCTCTACCAGCCTTTAGTCAGGTCCGTGTTTGTCTTCAGATAAAATATACACAGTCCCTGGGGCTCACAAACTCAATTACATATCTTTTCATTTGTCAGTAAGTAAGGCTCCAGCAGTGACCAGAACAAACAGCCTCCTTCCTAGGAGCTTAATGTGGGCCCAGCGACAAAGCAGGGAGCTTACTGAGAAATAAACGTGTTAATAATTCCTTGTGCTGGTTTTCACTTCCTCAGAACCTTCTATCACTGCTGAGGATAGCCAGGATTCCTGACCATGAGCTTGTGGTCAGTGTTGGGAAGGGGAGGTGGTCCTGAGAGTGGGTTATCTCTGGCTCAGCAAGCATTTTCTGTAAAAGTACCAGCTGTGGGCTTTGCAGGCCACACAGTGTCTACCGTAATATTTACCTCTGCACTCTAGCATGAAAGCACCTGCTGACAATGTGTAACAAATGAAATGGTTTGTTTCAATAAAAATTTATCTATAAAAACAAGTGGCAGGCCAGATTTGCCCGTGAGCCACACAGTTTGCCTACCTCTGGTTCAGCCTGTGGAATCTGGATTTGCCCGTTATTGACAGTG